CGGTCGCGCGCGCGTCGCGCGGGCGCGCGCGCGTCGTCGTCCGCGCCGATTCGACCACCGGTCGCGCCTTTCGAGCGCCTTTGGAATCGAAAGGCGCGACCGGTGCGCGTGGGTCCACCGCGCCTTTCGACGATGGTGGTGGTTTGTTTCATTTTCGGTACCTGGATTATCCACATCGTCGATCGTATCCGTACTCTTCGACGCGTCGATCGCTCGAAATGCTCGCGCGCGCGTCGTGTAAGGGCGCGCCGACGACCGGTCGCGCGCGTCGCGTCGATGCGCGGTCGGTGCGCGCGGTGACGCCGTCGCGGGCGCGCGGGATCGTCACCAGGGCTGGAAGCGATGATTTCACGCCGGAAAAGATTATGCAAAAGTACGACGAGATCACGTATAAGATCCCCGCGGTCGCGACCGCGGCGTCGGTGCCCGTGGTTGGGCTCTCGCTCGTGTGCAAGACGCTCACGGGACACGGTCTGCCGGGGACGCTGCTCGGGAGCGTCGAGGGGATCTCTTGGCTCGTGCTCGCGCTCGGCGCGAAGTCGTTCTGGCCAAAGGCGCAGGACATCGCGCGCTTGGGCGAGAAGTCGCCGGAGAACGTGATGAAGATCTTGCAAGCCGAAGGACGGGTGTACGGAGGGTTCGGAGAGGATTCTCGTGGGAAGAACGCGACGGAGCGCCTGAGCGCCATCTCGAAAGAGGTCGATCCAAACTCTCCGCTCGGGCAGCAGATGGCCGACATCGCGCGCCAAAAGGCTGAGCGCGAGAAGGAAACGCCGGAAGAAAAGGCTGCGCGCGAACGCCTGAGGGCTGAGCTCGCCGCGGCGGCGCTCGGCATGGCGAACAACAAGACGAAGGAGTTTGAAGCTGAAGCCGACACAAAGGGCAAGGATGGTCTCCTGTCCAAGCCGGTGACGGAGACACTCAAGGACAGCATGACGGTCGAAAACTACGACGTCGACGTGACCAAGTATGACGACAAGGCGCTCGGCAGCAAGCTTAACTTGTCCTCGACCAACGTCGAGATGGGCGTGCCGAAGAATAACAAGGGCGACGCGTGGCGCGAGCAATACCGCACGGAAGAAAACGAGGCGGGCAAGGCAGACTGATTCCTAAATTAGTTTTCCGCTGCGAGATTATTATTTTCGCGAAGTATCGCGATTGACGCGACGTCGGTGCGTCGTGTCCCTACGAAGATTGGTAATATTCTAAAGACTGCTCCATGACGCTAAGTTCCTCGTACCGTCGCAACGGCTCGAACATTTCTTCTGCGCCCAACACGTCGAACATGGTCGATAAGCATCGTTTTACGTGCGCTCTCGCGTCCGGATTACCCGTTCGTATGCACTCATTCATCGTCGCGAGCGCGGTTTCGAGGCTCGATCTCCCGGCTCTGCCTCTGAAGAGCGATTTCTCTTCGCCGCGGCGCTCCACGCAAAACGCGAGCGCCATCGCAATCTTCGATTGAAGTCTTCGCTCGCTGACGTGATTCGATAACGTTGCGATGAGCGCGCGCGGTGACGCCGCGTCGACGAGCAGCAGCAACGCCTCATCGGCCTCGACTGTCAGGAACGTGGATTCCGCCGAGCGCTTCAGGATACCTGGGAGCACCACACTCAGCTCGCCGTCTAAACGTCCCTTCAAATGACACGCCAAAGTCTTGACGAGCCCAATCGCCGCCTTACACACGCTCGAACGCAGCGAGGCTAGACACGACGCCACGGCGAGGACGAACGGCCGCAGACTCGCGGCGACGACGTCCGAATGGTGCGCGACGAGACGGTTCGCGAGTGCCATCGCTCTCAGCCGATCTTCCCAGGCGCCCTCGCTCCCATCGCCGCCGATATCGCGTAAGACCTCACCGATCGTCCGCCCCGGCTCGCTCACGGGCGAGAGATCGTCGTACGTCGCGAACGTCCCCACCCGCGCCCGCCCCTCGCGCCTCGCACCAATCATCCGCGCCGGCGCGCGCGCGTCCCCTCGCCGTCGTCGAAGCCGCCC